GATTAAGAGGCAAATTTTTGCAATGTCATAAGCACAAAAGCTATAAAACTCATGTCGATTATACTTATTTCATATTTTGGTGCTAAAAAATAACCAAGCAAGTATTTATTTGCTTTCAAATTCAAATTTTCTAACGACTTGTTAAGACAACTGACTGAATTCGTAGGAATTTCTTGACCGAAATTAACATGACAAATGTGTAATTGTATTCTAGTCGGGTAGAATGTAAACTGATATATAGTGATCAGAATCAGATACTGCTGAGAAACAGAAGAGAGGCCGAGAATGACAGTCAAATCAAATTGATAACACAATTTCGCCGTTTTGTTTTTGTAAAAACATGTCATCAAAGTATAAATACATTTTATCGACCAAAGTCTTATCAGTTTTCAACTCAAATAATTTTTCACCGTTACCAAATGTGATTAAATTGTAAAACGATTGAAAACATTTGAAGAAAAATCAAAAGAGTTTGTGATAAAAGAATTTTATTTCACTAAAATTAGCCATTTTCTGTGGTGTTAACATAGCAAACCAAATGAGCGTTAAATTACAAAGAGTACTGATAGATTTTGCATTTATTGAGTTCTGATTTAGTTATCTTTTATTAAATTAATTAACACAACATAAATAATTCTCTAATTCTCTTCAAGACAAGGTTTTGCATTTCGATCCATCAAAGTAATATAGTATTTGATTCACGTGAATTTTACACTTTTGTGTGAATAATATAAATTCAAAAGAATTAATTAATTTGTTGTTTAATTGAGTGTAAGGTTTTGATGATTTTCTGTTTAGAAAAGTTAAAGAGGCCTAAAGCAATTGTTTTTTCATAAATTGTATTATCTGATTACTTCCTTTGAAGTTGTTGACTGTTTGCTCCGATAATAATAACTAAGTTATTTGCTCGCGAGTTATTTTCTGTATTATTCACTTTTGATGTTTGAAATTTTGATTCTAAACAACTTAAGAAGAGTCATGCCTTAATATTATTTTCACTTTCAGGAGTACAAATTAATGCAGTAATTTAATGCAAATTATAAGCTATGCCAGGTACACATACATTTTATGATGGATCAGAGTTGTTACAACCAGTTTCTGACATATTTGGTGTTGGAGTTGATAAGGTACGGTTTTTAAATTTTGCATTTTTAATAATCGTTTTTCAATCTATTTTGTGATTCATAGAAAATATATCGATCTTGGCAATGTTGACTCACGTATTATTGAGATTATTGTTTTAGCGAAATGCCTCGAAACAAAAGAAAAATAGTGGTGTTAAACTTCATAATTAACTTAATGCTATTGAACTTTGTGATTATTAAACTTCATAAAATTAATAAATTTTTGTTTTTACTGGAAATTAATCTGTTACTGCAATGCATGCACTGATTATGATTATGCCTGTTATTAAAGGTATGTATGGTCAAGAGTATTCGTTGATATAAAGTCGTTTTGATATGTAAGAATATATGTCCTGTCCTGTAATGCTGTTTTTATCTCATAATAATTATAATTCCTTCAGGTTAATTTAGTGACATGTCAGTTCTTATCATTACCGCTAGCTTTTCTACAGTACACAGTTTTTACTCCAAATCGCGTCTCGCCAGCAATATGTGCTGGTTATCAGGCTATAATTGGCTTAATATTCTGTTATTTCTGTTTTGGAAGGTATGTTTTCATTTTTTAAATGTATCAAATACATTTTATAACCACATATAAATTCAGGTCGAAGGGAATTTCAAAATATCAATGAAATTCATACGTACCGTTGAAATTTAAATTATCTCTTTATTGTAATTGTAGATATTTGTCTGTAATATCAAGCAATAAATTAATATAGTTTTAGTATATTGTACATTGTTCTAAATTTATCTGCAGTTCCGTGGTGTTTATGAACTTTATATCTTTTCAGCGCTATAAAACATCTACTTTTACTAGTCACTTTATCATACGCAATTATGCATCTTTCACCACGTCAAATTGTACATAGGTAAGGTCTACATTTTTCGACTTTTGCATGCATGTGTTATTATTTATAAATAAGTGTTGTAATATTAAAGTTTATTTTTTAACATTTTTTAATATACAAATAAGGAATTCACAGTCAACCTGCATGTTTAGAGAGAAGGCAACTCCCAAAAGATGAGTTAGGTATGAGCTTTACAGCATTTAACATTTCTGCAGTTTGCTAATTTGCTTGTAGAAACCGCACTCATATCTACGAAGTGGAGTTCGATTCTGAGGCGGGAGAGAACTCATAATTACCAGCAATTCAGAAAAAGCTCTTGTATAGCAAAATAAACAAAGAAACTCATCACTGATAGTTGTTTTAAATGTGCAGTAATGAGCTAGCCTCAGTGGTAGATTCATCAATGTGGTTACGATTCGGAAGCATTATCACATGAGATGAAATGCGACAGTGTTACTTCCGATCACAAATATGTTTGAAGCTGAGAAAAGTATATGCCCATATTGTAGGGGACGTGTAAAGACGGTGGGGCATTTAGCAACGCAGTAGGAAAAAAATATTACATCATGACTATACTAGAAGGCACAATGAGGTCTTGTGATGCATTCATTTAGGACTCTGGAAAAAGTGAGGTCTAAAAGAATTTCCACGCTTGCAGAGCCACTCCGTTCAAGGAACTGTCGCTAACGAAAACGTTGAAATCAGAGTCGATACGCGAGTAATAACTGCAATTAGAATAAAAGCGGATCGACCGAATATCATCATACACGATAAGAAGCGACGTGGAATAATCTTAATAGAGATTGGCATCACTTAGTCAGGACAAATTCACAGTAGTCGAGACCGAGAAAAAGCGAAACTATGATCTATTGACTAATAAACTAGGGGCAAAGATGAATTGCAGGACAAAAATTATTCCGTATGTGGAGTTGGGATGGGATTGCAACGTACTTTCATAAACGTAATTTGAAGGAAATCAGTGTATCTGATGACGTCGAGGTATATATCTTGTCGATAGTGTTCAAGAAAGCGCTCGAAAGCACCTAAATCGATGACTGCTTTGAATTTTGTGAGGATGAAGCAGAATATAAAAGTGCTGGAATACGATCCAGCTCCAGGAGCAGTGAAGTGGGAAAAACCTCCTTAATTTCTTTTTGTATAGTATTACATGTCATGTGCAGCAAGTCGGAGGTGAATTTTTGTTGTTGTCTTCTCGATTCTTGCGTTGAGTCATGTTCCGGTACTCTCGTTTTACTAACCGGCACTCAGTTCTGGTGTAGTTCGGTACATTGTCCAGCTTTTCCATGTCCTTCAAGAGCTTTATCTTCAAGAACATCACCTGTTTTCCATTTGTTTTCATTTATGGTTCCAGGCTCGTTTTTTTTTCTTTTTTGCTTATCCTCTATTTTTGCTTTTCTTTTTTGTGATCTGATAAATAATTAGCTAACGGCTCTATCGCTCGTCAGTTCGACAAAGCCTATATATAGCAATCTGAATAGTGATTGAAATTATGCAGTTCTTTTATGTATGTTTGATGCTGCGCATGATTCTAAAATTTTATTATTCGCTGTCAAAGCAAAGCAGACAAGTTGAAGAATCGGGATCTTATTATAACAACAATTACTTTTGCTTTAAAATTAATGAAGTCATTCACTACAGGAGCGTGTTCATATTTGCAATGGGTTATCTTCTTGTTATACATTGGTATCGTTGCTTTGCTTTATCAAGTTATTATCTTGATGTTACAGGTCCTATGATGGTTAGTTTCTTTATTCCTTATATTGCTCTGTATAAATTTAAGAATTTCCTTTATCATACTAAATTTATGCTCAGATTTTGTCAAAACGTACGATGCAAATCAAAAATTAAAATGGTGGATTTTTTGTAAACATCTTTCTGCCATCAAATATTTACTTGCTATATCACACATTTCTAAAGGTGCTTGTCCAAAAAATAACAGTGCTCGCATTTTCTTTACATGATGGAACAGCAAAAAAAAGTGAGGAATTGAATGATTTACAAAAAAGAGAAGCTCTGAAGTGAGAATTTATTTTCTTGATTTGATTTCATTATTTGTAATAAAGCACTAATTTCGGAAACACAAAATACTCATATATATTTGTATTAACTATGAAAAAAAAAACTAATTATTGTCAACCAGTTTTCTTACTCAAATAATTTCTATTCACTTGTCTTACTAACATTTGTACAGCTGTTTAACCTTTTCGATTGTCAGTGATTTCAGATCGGTACCTAGTTTTTCGAATTTTATGAGCTATATGTTTCATTTTCAAGCTGTACTAACTGGACCAATGTGCTTTTATACAGATTATAAGGCCTGGATTGAAGGAACTTCTGCTATTGGTAAAGATGGAAAGGTTGTTTTTTGGCTATTAAAAAAGAATCCCAGTTTCAAATATCAAAAGGTGTTCCTTACTAGTTCAAATATTAGAAGACATGGCATAAATCACGAACCAGATAAACACTTCAATACTATAGCCTCATGTAATATCTTATAAACACTTCAATACTATAGCCTCATGTAATATCTTTCAATATTATTAGAGTCAAACTATTTTTATTCTATAATTTGAATAGTGATTTCTAGATTGAGAAACCTTGGTCTGCAGTGTTAACAAAACTGTCACAAGCAGCTATATTTTTCCTAGTTTATTTTTGTTTTGCTGATCATCTTACTCCTGATATCATAATGAACATGGAATATATGAACTTAAATTGGCCATTGAGACTACTCGTAATCTACATTGTGACGTCATTTCAACGTTTATCATATTATTTTGCATGGACTTTAGGTATTTTTTAATGCAGTATTTGAGCCATTATTCTGAAATTTCAATCTAATATTTGTAGTAATAGAAAAAAAAGCGATAAGTTAGCATCACTAAGTTACACCAAATCTTTAGTGGTCTTTTTCTTTTTGTTTTATTAAAATGCGCATGGCTGCAAATTTGCTTTGTTCTTTCAAAATTACTGAAAAAGTGAAAATAACATTTGCACAGAGTTTTTTCCTTTGCATTTTTTCTCTTACATTATGTTTAGAGTACGTAAAAAAAATTTTTTTTCGATCAGGTTTGATCAGGAAATATTATCATGTGATTCACTCACATAGATATATGTAATCATTTTTCGTAGCGAAGAAATCTTTCAGCTGATGCCATATTTAATTTAAGTGGTTTTGGGTTCAGTGGGTATGATGAAGACAAAAACCCTCAGTGGGATTTGGTTTCAAACGTCAAACCTTGGCAAGTTGAGGTGTTTTTTTATTCTCTTTCTTCGCAATTTTTTTCATCGTTCGAATAAAATATGCTTACTAGTAAAGTGTTTGGATATATTGGAAAGCTTTTCAGACAGCCTCAAATTTAAAAGAGACGTTGGAAGCTTGGAATTGCTGTACTATGTATTGGCTTCGACGTGTTGCTTATGATCGTGCTCCGAAAAAGTGTGCTTTTATTTTCTAAATCTGCTGTAGTAATTTTAATTTTATAGTATTGCAAAAAATTTTTAGCTTTCTTTGTCTGTTTAAAATAATTGATACATTTGGTTTACAGATATCGAACTTTGTGCACATATTTATTGTCTGCTGTGTGGCATGGTTTCTTTTTGGGTTATTATGTTACTTTCTTAACAGGCGCTCTGTTTACTGTTTCTGCTCGAACGGTATTTTTTAATATTCAGATTTATTTTGAATTAAGAAATTATTCTGTCTTTCACTGTTGCATCTTAAAATATATATTGCATTACTTGCAATGGTCATTAATCCTGCATTTTTTTTAGCGCATATTCAGTTATAAATAATTACTATGCTAATTAAGGTCCGCCGTTGCCTTCGTTGGAGATTTCAAGGAAATCAATTTTCGCGGTTTTTTTACGATGTCGTTACCTTTATAGTAACAAGGATCACTTTATCATATACAGTGTATCCGTTTATTATGTTGCACTTTGGTCCTGGGCTGCATTTTTACAGGTAGTAATTAATTGTACTACTTTATTTGCTGAAGTTTAATGTAATCATCAAATTTTTCGATCAAATAAAACTTTTTTATTGATATTTATGACTCGTATTTTCAGACACATGTATTTCTGCTTTCATATAATCGCACTTCTTATATTGTTTATTCTTCCTCAGTTATTGCCTCCGAAGACGATACCAGTAGATTATCAAAACACTATCAATCATGCAAAAAAGTCTTATTAGTTATAGTCTGTTATTTCGTTTTCGAGGAATTTCGTCAAAGTGTATCAGAAGTTGTTACTTTCTTAAATCATAAGGAATTTCAAGAGTAAATGTGTTCGGAGAGGAACTACTAATCAAGTTTCATCCTTATGCAATAGGTGAGATTATCATTTATCTTGTGTTTATATGCTACCTTTGTTATTCATGTAAATACTCAATGCATAAAGAAAGTGACTTTTTTTGTTTCTGAGTTGCGGACTACAGAAATATGCTCACTTTTGTGGAGCGAAAAACTTAATATTCTTCTCTTTACCTTATGTGAGTACTGTGACTACCTAATTTGGCGATATTCACAAGTTTCTATTCTTTTGTGCCTTTGATTTTTGTTCTTGGATCTATATTTTTCTGATTCTAAACTTGATTTGTGATAGATATGTTCGATTAGAATAATCTCTTTTACTTATTTTTTCCTACTGTAAGTAAAATTGAGTTATAAATTCTATATTATTCCAACATATTACAACTTGCCTTGTCAAATTATTTTTTTGGTATATATATTCGTCAAAGAAAGATTTGTACATGTGGTGATTTAGACAGAAATATTGAAGGGCGATCCATTAATTTGATTCATGAACACATGAAAATTCAAACTGCTTATGATCAGGTATTTAACTTAATGTTTGTAAACCTCATTAGATTTTCTCTCATATCCGTATATTTTACGCAGCTGATGATCTGTTTTTAGTTTTCATTTTGATATCGTCGTAATGCTAGTTCATTGGTGTGTTGTGTTTGGGAATGTTGATTATTTCAAGATTGACGATTTTGAATATTTCGATATTTTGTATGTTATCAAAATTGCAATGAATAAAAAATGGACTACACTGACAAGATAATAATATCCTTATCTTTGATTGAAGATGTTTTTCAAAGATGCGTGAATATGAGATACAATTGGAGATGGAAATAATTTTAGCAGCAGAATTCCTGAAGAAATAGCTTATAATTCGTGTGCTTCCTATCTTCAGTATATTTTTTGTAATCAGAATGAATATCAATATGGTGGTGTTAGTTTATTTTCGCCTCATATGGGATTTAATTAGTTGATTCGTTTTTTTTTTTTGGTATTAAAAATGCTAGCAAACGTGGTCTGGCTCGAATTATTTCTCGAAAAAAAAGGAATACAGAAGTAAACAAGATATGCAGAATATATAAGGGACTATTATGGTTGTTATTACTGTTGCTTGACTGATTTGTCTAACGGATATAAATTCAGATCAGAAACTAAATTCGTATTACCACAAATAGCTCAGCGAGAAGAGTAAGATCAAAGATGTGTGGATATTTGGGCTGTGTACTAGTCTTTGGCTTGAAAAAGCATCGATTTAGCAAAGGTGACATGCTGCAAAGCATTTGAAATGTAAAGTAGGATTTGTTGTTTGTTAAAGCTTCATTTGTTGTCTGTTGATGTCAGGGGTAATAAGTAGTGATAGATTTGCTTAGCTTGCTAAGCATTACTTATCCTTGTAGGCAGGCTCCTTAGCGTTCTTTACTTATTTCAGTGTCATAATCTATACTTTCGGATTAGATATGCAAGTAGATTAAGCTAATATTCAAAACTCTATCATTTTTCCTTGTTTTTTTTTTTTTTTTTTTTTGCTCAAATAGTTTTTTCTGAAGTATTTATTTATTCTTTGAGTATGAATGGAAGAATTTTTAAATCATAAAATTTAAGAATTATTTCTGAAATGCTTCATTTTCCTTTTTATTTAAGGTTTCTTTAAGATGCTAAAACATTTTTTGATAATTATGAGTAATAATTTTTTAAGTTTTAATCGATGTGATATGATCTAGTCTTGTTTTTGCATTATATATGTATTATGAGTTAGAATGGTACTTAGTAATAAATGTATTATAATCGATTATACTGGAAGCATTTGTCGATTATATATATTTTTAGCAGGCAAACTTTTTACAAAAATTTGACATAAATTAGTGAATGGTACAGTGATGCCTGGTTTGCACACTTTTTACGATGGCTCAACGTTATTGCAACCAATTGCACAAAGTTTGGAAATTGGAGTAGATAAGGAAATTTTTGATTTTTTTGTTTTTGAATTTTGTTGTATATACTTTATGGTTCATTGAGATTCAAGAACTCTGTAGCATTTCCATTTTCATTCAATGTTTTATTATTCTGAAAGTAGCAGTGATTTGGAATCATAATTTGCTAAGTATTTATAAAAACTTCATAATTGTACCAAAATTTTTGTAAACAAAACTGCTGAGAATGAAAGTATAGAAATTGGTGAATATAATCATTTATTTTAATTTTGTGTGAAATATTACTTTGTAGGAATCGAAATAATTTTAAACTTAATGTTGATTACTACTTTGTGATTTTATCATTATTTTTTAGATTAATTTGGTAGCATGTCAGTTAATATCGTTGTTGTTGGCATATATACACTACAGCATATTTAGTGCATCAAGCGTTTCGCGAACAACACGTACTGCTTTTCCTCTTATTTTTGGCTTGGTTTTTTGCTACTTTTGTTATGGCAAGTATGTTTACGTTATGTGCAATTTGCAATTGTTTTTTTTTTTCTTCATATAATAAGTTCTAATTTAGCATTTTTATTCTGTAAATATGCTCCGACCTTGAGTAGTCAAGGAGCTAAGCCTCATCTATTCATGAAATATTCATAGCTATTCATCTATAAAGGGTGCTCTGACCTTTTATTTTCCAAAGTATTGCTTTTTCATATCATATATCATTTTAACATACCTTGCGATATATTTAAAACTCTTATAATTTTTTCAGGTGGAAGTGTTAGATTATTTGATTTTACGTTTTTGTGATGTATATTACAAAATTTGACTAAGTCAGGAATCCATTTTTTAGCTGAAGCTGAACTTAGCTGATGTGCTTTTGTTTTTAATGCTATTTAAATCAAGCTGCGAGCTCTATTTTATCACTATAATTTAAAATATCCTTTCAGTGCCATGAAACATTTAGTGTCATTAGTTGGTGTATCCTATGTTATCATGCATCTTTCACCTTCAAAAGTTGTACATAAGTAAGTTCTTGTTACATTTTGTGGGATGATTAATTAATAATTCATTTGAGTGAATTTATTTGCTTGCAAGCGTAGTTTTTGTCTTTGAATGTTAGTTTATGTTTGGCATTCTTGTATCAAAATTTATGAGTTGCTAACAGAATATGGAAGTGAAAAAGATTCAGTTTTTAGTGAAGATTGAACTAGAAACAGAAAATGCATATTGCATTGTTAGATTGCTGAATTCAAGTTTTATTTTATAGATGTGTTTTCTTATTTTCAATGTGCTACCTCGTTTTTATACACTGGTATCGATGGTATATACTAACAGATTATTATATCGATATGACAGGCCCGATGATGGTTAGTCGGTTATTTTTTTCCAGTGATAACTAAAAACAATTAAATTCGTCGTGTGCTTTCTTAGATAATTAAAATCAAATTCTGCAATGGACTGCGAAAGTATTTGATTGATTTTAAAATTACTTTTTAAATTTAATCCGTCGTGGCTCAAATAATTTAAATGGTTGCACTTAGTATTGTGGTTTTCTTACTATAGTCCTGTCATCTTGCAGTTTTTAATGATAACTAGGATTTTTTGGTCTTTATTTTGATTTAAGAGCATGAGTTTAGTTGGGATTTTTTGAAATTGCAAGATGATTTTTATAATCTTTTCCAGTTCTTAAAAGTTTGACGCATGATGTTGCAGCAAACGATTGTAAGAAGTATATTTAATAAGCTAAATTTTGTAGATACTTGTTCAAAAAGTAACAGTACTTGCGTTCTCATTACATGATGGAAAGGTAAAAAAAAGTGAGGATTTAAATGAGGTACAGATGAAGGAAGCGATCAAGTAAGACATTTTACTAAAAAATCAGTTATTGAGAAAATAGGATCCTAAGATGTCTGATAACTTCAGGTATCTTAAACATGACTAATATTCATAATTAAACTTTTTTTCTACTTTAGAATGGTTTTTAGATCAGTACCTGACATTCTTAGTTTCCTGAGTTATATGTTTCATTTCCAAGCAGTGTTAACCGGACCAGCTTGCTTTTATACAGATTATATGGCATGGATTGATGGAACAGCTGCTATTGGTAAAGAAGGACTGGTCTGTAATTTTCATGCAAATATTACAAAATTAAAAAGATTAGTTGCAAAAATCATTATTTTAACAGATAATGATTGGTTTTTAGAAAGAGGTTTTTATTTTTATCTCTAAATAAAGTTGTTTTGACTGAAAGCAATTGCGATTATAATAAATGGTGGAGTTAAGAGTTTTCTTCTAACGCAATGTTTATTTATATGTGCAATTTTGTTGTTTAAACATGCGATGAAATGATCTGATTTTTTGGCACATTTTTAATTGCTTATGTTGTAAATCTGATTACATAATAAAGTGTTTTTTAGATTGAAAAACCATGGCGTGCTGTGTCAATAAAATTGTCACAAACGACATTATTCATTTTATTATATGTGTATCTTGGTAATTGTCTTCCACCCGATATTATTATGGACAAGAAATATGTGGATTTAAATTTGTTATTATGGCTCTTTTTATTATACATTGTGATGGCGTTTCAACGGATCCCCTATTATTTAGCATGGATTTTAGGTAAGTCCATGATAAAAATTAGCAGAGTGCTGAAATTGTAAGTGGAGTATGATAAAAAAATATTGTACTTGCAGCTGATGCGATATGTAATTTGAGTGGGTTTGGATTTAGAGGTTATGATGCAAATGGTCATCCTCAGTGGGATTTGATTTCCAATGTTAAACCATGGAAATTCGAGGTCTTCCTTTCTTTGTTCATATATCTTCTCTACACAGTTCTTTATCACCTTCATCTGATGAGGATAAAAAACATTTCACTGTTAACCTCTAACACTGGAATGTTTTTTTATGCATGTTGTTTAGGAAGAATTATTTTTCACATCAGGCATAATTTTTGTTATTTATGCTGTATTTTTTTGTCAAAGTTTAACTTGTTCAAACAATTTCAACTTAATCGAAATACTCTAGTGATTACTGTGTTTGCTGAGTCCAATTTGATGGGTACTTTCAGACAGCATTAAATTTCAAAGAGTCTTTGGAAGCATGGAATTGTTGTACAATGTATTGGCTTCGGCGTGTTGCGTATGATCGGGTCCCAGAAAAGTGTGTACTTAACTTTTTGAATACTTGACTTATACTGATTATTTATCTAGACTAAATTTTATTGGCGTTACTATTTACTAGATTTATTTTTATTTATTCTTTATTTTCAGATACAGAACTGTGTGTACTTATTTGTTATCTGCTATTTGGCACGGTTTTTTTTTGGGCTACTACGTTACGTTTTTAACTGGCGCATTGTTCACTGTTTCCGCAAGAACGGTGTTTTTATTATTATGTCGATTATATTTTTTCAAAAATAAAATATGCTAATTTTTCTGTATTTTTTAATGCATATTAATGAATTAATCTTTCAAAAAAAAAAAAACTCTCAGTGCTATAAATTAAAATATAACCACAAATAGACGAAATTTAGATACGTCGTTGCTTACGTTGGCGTTTCCAAGGAAATCAGTGCCAGTGCCGTTTTTATGATGTCCTCACGTTTGTCGTGACAAGGATTACTTTATCTTATACAACATATCCATTTGTCATGCTACATCTTGAACCTGGATTACGTTTATATCGGTTGGTTATTTATTATTATTGATCGTAATCAATGATGTTTTAAACTGAAGTCGAAATATACCTGAAAGTAATTTTTACTATGAAAATTTATTATTATTGCAAGGTTTGATATTCTTTTACAGATTTTATGTTTCGTTTGTGTTACATTGAGATGAAATATAAATTTCTTTATTTATAGGCATGTTTACTTCTGTCCTCACATCCTCGCTTTTGCTGCTGTTTTTATCTTGCCTCGAATATTGCCTCCAGAGCCAAAATTTGACCTTAAGAAGCAAACACAGTGAATAACAATTGCTTTTCAACAACTCTACCCTAACGTCCAAATTGTGCTCAAACGCAAATATCTGAACTACAATATTATAATCAGGACGTTTTTCGTGTGAATCGTTCCAAGAGACTGTAGAGAAGATTATGTCATTGAGTCTTACATGATTTTATGTTTTCTTATTTTGTAAATCTATATGTTCTGTGTATTTGCTGCGTTTTGCAGATATTATTTACTATTTACTTCAGTATTAATGCTTGCTATTTTGGGCCAGTATTTTAGAAATTAAATTTTGGACTTCAATTTTGGAATATTTGGTTGTGCTTTCGTTACTTGTGTTTCAAATTTTCGTATTTTTCATTTTTTTATTTGTAAACAGCATCATATTTTTTAGTTTGCGATTATTTTAAAAATATTACTAGATTTTCGAAAAATATCTTGAACATTATCGTTTCAGGGTCATTATGGGTGCATCATACAGAAATTTTCTTTATGTTATATTTAATAGTGATTGGAATCGACGCATAAAACTACTATTCGTTAAGGGCAATTTTAGTTTAAAATTATTTGTATTCAGAGAAAAAACCTGTTTGCTGCGTAGTTTTCAGTGCCATTAAAAAATGCTCATTTAGATGAGTTGATTTGAGTCAAGAAATTACGTCAAGGTTAGAAGTGTTAATAAATAGACTCTACAAGAGTAATAATTAATCATTTGTCTTTTATTTTATTTTTTGTCGTTTCAATATAGCTTCAAAATTAGTTTTAAAATGAACCTTATCAGCTAATCAACAATTTCTTCACGCACGAACCTGCTTTATTTGGTTAGTCTAATGAGTCATTTTTTCACTTCAATTTATTTTTAATTTATAAAAAATTCTGACGTTGCCAATTGTATACATTTATTTATTTTTTGAGCATTGTATAACTTATTTAAGTATAATTGTATCTTTCGATCTATATGGCTGTATAATTTGATCATGTTACGATCGATAGATTTGTATATTGTCTTCAGTTAAAATTACTGTATTGATAGAAGTGGAAATTGTTGACTAATATAATTAATGATGATTATGTGCGGTTTTTTGAGTAAAATTAAAATTTTATTCTGAGATTTTTGAGCATTTGGTGTGAAAAGGAAATTTGTAATCAAATGTGAAAATAATTTGTGGTTTAATTCAGTAGTCTAAGTATTGAATTAAAGGATAACTTAAGTATAATTCAGCTACATAAGTGAATACCTCTCGGAATGAGGTAGAGTTATTCCATATGATAGTAAAATATTTGCATTTCAAATTATTATTTTATTTTTGAGTTATTCAATGTGCTTATGATGCAAATTAGATTTCAGATGTAATCAAATGTTGTAGAGTAGCTAATTTTATTTATTGTACTGAATCATGTAATAAATTTATGATTCTTCACAAAATGTATTAGAAGTAGTTTGTATTTCTATGAAGGAAACCGATCTAAGTCTCAAGCATGCCATGATCTAGGACTAGATTCAGGCACAAAATCAAAGAAGTAAAGAATTTTCGAAAGTTAGTTTCAAGATAAGATTGCAGATGCTGAAAATAAATTAGCATTTGTTACTAAACAAAACTGATTAGAAAATTCGGTTTGTCATGAATAAGAATAACAAATTTAAATGTGAAAATGAACCTAAGAGAGTCGGATATCTCAGTAATCATTAGAATTGGTCAAATTTTTTATCTACCCACCATTTTATCTAGCTAGTTTACCCAGTAAAACCACTGGATCTTAATTTGTATGATTTTCTGTGCGTATATCAGTTCCCGTTTTAATCATATTCAACTATAGAAGTTTAATCACATATTTGCTTTACTTCATTTATGCCATGTCAAAGTTAAAACATTATCTCAATATAACTTGGAAGTTTAAATTGTTAGCCTTAGTAGTAACGAATATTAACTGCTGTAATACTACAATTATTGTGATATTCCAACAGTAATTTTTTGACATTTCCTTTATATTTTCACTAAGGAACAAGTAGTTTTCATTGTTCATAAATTATTTTTTACTTTAAGTTTCAATTCTGAGAGTAGGTTATTTTTAAGAGAAGCTTTTGCTAAATTTCGTTATTTTTTATTGCTGATAAAAAATATTAGGAAAAAAAATCAAGAAATCTGGCAGTGTGGAAAAAGTCTGGCTAGAATTGTTGATCAAATTGTGAAGATTCAGGGATATATTAGCACTAGCATTATCGTCGGGTACCATCTTCGAAGAAAACGCCACCATCAATTGCGCAGTATTTTGGACAAATACCTCTCTCACCTGGAGAACCGACTTCACCAGGTCTTCCTGGTGCTCCGGGTTCGCCATCCATGCCAGGTTGTCCTGGTGGACCTGGTCGTCCTTTCAATCCCGGAGGTCCTGATGCCCCATTTGAGCCTGGTTTTCCAGGTGCGCCTGGTGGTCCAGGTGGTCCCATATCGCCTAAAATTGTTACAGCGATTTCATGTTCCATCCAGTTTTGAATTTCAATAATCTACTGTTAAAATTTGCGTCAGGTGCGAAAATGTAATGTTACCTGGAGGTCCAGGTTCACCCGCAAGAACACCTGCACTTGGAGCACTTTCTCCTGGCTCTCCAGTCGGTCCCTGTGGTCCGATTGGTCCAGGCGGTCCTGGTAATCCTTTTGGTCCTGGCGGACCTGGCGTTCCATATGCAGCAGGTGCTCCTGCTTGTCCTGATGGTCCTTCATCTCCAGGTGGTCCTGGTGGGCCAGGGGGTCCTGGCGGACCAGGTGGACATGGTTTACATGGTGGTGGTGTAACCGTTACACATGGTTGGCTTGGTGGTCGTCCCGGACTTCCAGGCCTTCCTGGTACACCAGGTCTAGAAATGAATTTTAGCTTCAGCAAAATATTTTTTGTAGTAAGAGAAATTTAATGGAATTTCTTTGGCTTAACATGCATTTGAAATGGATGAAATATTCGTAAAAATAACAAAAACAAACACAAAATTAAAAAAAACCTTCCAGGTTTGCCGGGCTTTCCAGGTGATCCCATAGGGCCTGGTGGACCTGGCAAGCAGCAACCTTCACAACGTGAATCGTAACTTGCAGCATTCACTCCCAAATCGGTTTCAATACCGTATCCAGCTTGTCTAGCAGTTCGATTTTGCTTCATTGGCATTTGTTTTAAATGCCCTACTTCAGTCCAAATATCTTTTGCTGACCCCTGCAAACCGATAATAACTATATAAAGTATTCATGCTTTAATACTGGACGCTAAATTATTTTTCATCATTGTATACTTTATCATTTTTACTCACAGTTGGCATCTAGAATTAGGAAAAAATATTTCATTATATGAAAAATTGTTATTGCAAATAAATGCGAACAAATAATTAGTTAAAATTCTGAAGTATTTAGATAATTTAAGGATATAAACTAAATAGTCATTCAAATAGACTAAAAAGCAGTTTTTGACTACAATTTACTAAGTTAATCCTCGTTTAAATTATTGTAGAAGTGGTTACTATTATTACTCATCATCATCATCATTATTGTTAAAGATTAATATAAAATGAGATATCAGAGTTTTTTCGTTGGTCACTCAAACATTAATAAAACAGTTATTTTCAAAGATGTCATTAAAAAGCAATAGATATCTAATTCTGTGAAATAAAAATTACAGAATACATTTGCTTATAAGTATTGTTTCTATTATTGGGCATTATTTCTGTTGTATACAATGTGGCATAATAACTGATTTTAAATCATTCAGTTCGTTTTTATCAAATTTATCTAATTTTGGAAGAAACTTGCAACATTTTTAGTATTAGCACAAAAAATAAAAAATATCGGCGCAGTTGTCATAATTATTCAAATTATTACGAAAAAGAACGCCTACTGTAATAAAAAATGAAAGCAAAACAAATATTAATCAATTATTAACTAACCTTACAGTAGTTAATCTCGGATCGCATATGTCGTCTAACATGATAAACATAATTGTACACCATTGGAAGTGAAATGCATACTGATAATACAGCAATAGTTGAAAAAGTTACCGCAGCATAAGAAACAATTTTGTAGGCTTTTATTCGATTATCGTAATCCATCTTGTGCCTACTGAAAATATTTAAATAACTTAATAAAATTGTTATCAGAAACTTACTAACTAACTTATTGACTTATTTACTTTAACTGAATTAACTATAACTAAGGAGTTATTATGTTTGCAAAATTGTAGCACATTGACAATTTATATACATTTTTGTGTTGAAGACAGAATCTAAGAAAGAGGGAGGAGCAGATGTGGAAAGTAATCATTTCAGGTTTTGTATATGTTTGAAAATATGTAAAAACAGAAATGAAATAGTAGTACGCGACTCACTTACTTACTTGTTGTAGTAAAATGCATAAAGAAGAAGAAATCATCTTGCTTTTCTCTTTTTCAAAATTGTGATATTATTTTTTAGAATATCTTTTTTTAAAAGTAAAAATAAAAAATAAAAAAAAATAAAAAAAATAGTAAATACAAACTATTTGATCAGTTTTTGAAACTGCCTGCTGTATATTAATTAACTTGATTACTTACTTTTCAAACTCGTTTTTTGCTTTAAGCACTAATTACAATAATAATTTTAAGCAATATTGTAATAATTATTTTATTTTTATTAAAATAGTAATTATAAATTTATGTCAGGTTTTAAATTTTTATATCGAGCAATTTAAATTTTATTATTTGAAAGATAAAAAACAAAAAAGCATATTTGAAATAAATTAATTCTTAATTATTTACAAATGCTGAAGATTGAATATGATTCGTGTTTCTTTTCAATTATTATTTTTTAGACTTTTTTTTATTTTTTTAAAAAGTTTTTTACTTTTTTTATTTTTTTTAATTTCATTGCAAATTGTAGCAGAAAATTTTTAAATATGATAATTTTTCAAGTTCTACAAAATAAGTTCAATTGAAAAAAAATTTCACTTTACAAAATGAAACACCACTTTATCACTATTTGCGCAGCTCTCAGCACTTTCGTTTATCAAAAAAGTAATTTAATAAAGCAATTTCATTTTTTATTCTATTTGTTCTTCAAACAATTTGATCATTCTGAAATTATTTTGTTGATTTTTCAAACATTATCATTTATCAATTATCCGAAATCTGGATTAAGACCACAATGAAGCAGATTAATTTTTTAATATATAATAATGTTTGGAAGATTATTTTCGAGTAATTAAAGTTAAGTACTCAATTATGGACGCAAATCAATCATACATCTTTGTAAAGTGAAATTCACATTTTAAGATTAATTCAAATTAATTTACAAAAAAAATAAGTAAAATTCACATTTCAAAATTAATTCAAATTAATTTACAAAAAAAATAAGTGAAATTCACATTTTAAGATTAATTCAAATCAATTTAAAAAAAAAAGAGTAATCAGATTTTATGATTCTACAAACTCGAAACTTTAAAATTTTTCTATTTATTAGTTGCATACAAATTATCATTGATAAAATTCAAGAGCAAAAGTGAATTCAAAAAAGTATTAATTCTGTGAACTTTAGCAAATTCTGTTTTAATATCAAAGTATAAGTACTTGAAGTCACATATTAATCCTCGATTTTATTTCTGTAAATTTTAGATTTGAAAATAAAACATTTTAAAACTTCATGCACAAAACTAAATATCTGTTCCATTCTTAGCCATATCTTAGAATTTTGAAATTTGCATATTTAAGATATTTCCTTGCTGTGAATTTGCATATTCATTCTTTAATGCTTTCAAGTATTCACTTCATAGCATTTTCAATAATTAATTTATATTTTAGCAATGAACAATAAACAAAAAATCTGTAATTACTTTAAATCAAATCAACTAATTTGCATATTTTTAAACTTTCACAAAACACAGACTAAGATAAAATATTTAGTTTTTAAGATATATATAATTTATTTGTCCATTTTTTGTTGCATTCTTACTTAGTTTATTTAAATGGAAACTAATTGCTAAAATATTAATTTTACAATTTGAATGCACTTTTCTCAATTTCATATACATTTTTGTAAGGACTGTACTGCTGAAATAACTTTTTAAAGTAAAACACACTATTTTACTTTTTATTACACTTAAAATTATTTAAATTAAACTTTGAAAAAGGGAGTAAAATATGTAAATTACATTTGTAAACTTGATAAAATTTTTATTAGATAAGGCATATAAATTATTACAGTTTTTTGCTTGCTTTAGCTAAAATAAAACAGGAAAAAAAGTGAAATATATTACAATAATTTCAGATTCTTTCTTACAGTAGCACTTTTTTCAAATTCAAATTTGTACTTTTAATATAAATGAAATGTGCTTGAATAAAAAATAATAATGAATGCATTAATTAGTATTTAAACTAGTTTTGTCAATTTTATTTCAGAAATGCAAATTCTAATCAGTTTATTTTCAAAAACAATACTGTTTACAATACTCAAAAGTAGTGAAAGGTCGAATAGAAATTATTTCGAAAAATTTTTATGAAAATTTATATTTTAGAACAATTTTTGAAAATATTACGTATTTCTCTATATTCATTAAAAATGCTAAATTTTTGATAATAATTGTATATATTTTTGTCTATACATTGCAAGTAAAAGTGAATTCTAAAAGTAAAAAATAATTTTTGAGATTTTTACGTTTGAATAAGCTTGGGATCTAAAAATTAACGTAAATATAAACTTTTTAATATAAATAATTGGAAAATCATAGAAAGATCCTTGTAACAGTAATAATGATATATGGCAAGTAACGCTCAGCATAAATAATAATAATACTACGACCAAAAACACACCAAATAAGTGAAATTATTTTATTAGTTGTAAAACTTATGGTTTACAAGTAATAAACTAAAATATTAATCTAAATTCTACAAGTAATTATTACAAATTTAACAATTTTTGTGCACAAATTTTCATGCGATTATATAAACTGAATTAATATAATTGCATGTATAAATAATGATAATGATGATGATAATAATAATAATAATAATAATAATAATAATAATAATAATA